ATATGGATCTCATCTGATTTTTTTGTATCACTGGTGGTACATAATGACTCTGCCGTAATTGTAGAGTCATTTTTCCCTTCTAATAAATATAAAAATAAGTGTAACTATATATCATTTTACACATACATTGCCCCCATATGTATGTGCAATGCAGATGACAATCTACTTTTCATTAATCTTTATAAGCTGAGATATATATACTAGCAGCAGATAAATAACAATTTAATTCAGTTAATCAAAAAACAAGAACTTCATACAAGTGAGTCATGTTGAAACTAATGGTCAATTAATGTTAATTGATCACATGGCTACATCAATAGGTAATTTTGTTTTGTACTATTTGGATTTTGAATGGTCACACAGACGTACGTGCCATTTGTTTCCCTCCTTATTGTCCTCAACCTTCCCTTTCCTTCTTGCGATGAGAAAAAGAAATAAAAAGCTATGAAGAGAGACACCGATATAGTTACATACACATACTGCTGATATCTGCTGACTACTAATGCTGGACCCATATTTTGTGTGAAGCGTAATTTGACTTTGTTTGGATTTAGTGCAAGCGTGCGGTGAGACTCGTACGTCAAAACTCAAACACCCACCAGTGAGTTGTCTCTCAAAAAACAAAAGTGGAGTTTGAAAATGGAACTCTATACACTTTACACAAAAAGTGAGTAAAAAACCTGAAACCATCTAATCGAGTGGGTCACGCGTCACTCCACCCTAGGCGAGACATCCCCTTTGTAATTTTTTTTTTTTTTAAACAGTGCAAAAACATAGATATAAAAATGTGGTACACTTGACAAATCTAAGAAGTTCGGAGAATTTACCAACACTTGTGTATAATTATACCAACTGGGATATGTATTTTTGAAATTTAAATTAAAGGTGAAGTGAGTGGAAATGGAAAGGACCGGACGGGCTCAATTGAAAAAGGAAATAAGATAGTGCAAGGACTGCAGTACACTCTCAAAAGTTAACATCCAGGTCCAACCGTAGCGCGAGATCCGCTGCACACCCTCAAAGTTAACGATCCTGGTCTAGTTATGTTTAACGTAGAAGCTAATAAAAAGATTACGATATCAAATGTGGAAATATAGTATGAAAGAAAAAAAAAAAAAGGTGTACTCTGTCTGTGACTCTGAGAGTCAAGATCCGGTTCTTCGATCTGTAGAACTGTGTGTATGTGACTCAAAATACCACATGCACTTCCCTGGAGAAAAATTAAAAAATTACAATTTAAATAAAAAAAAAAAATACGAATTCAAAGCTATATATAAAATATTTACAAAATTAATACAATCTATTACGCATCAGTTTAGACACAACTGATTGCACATTAATTTAGGCACAATAGCAATATTAACTGTAATTCATCGGAATATGTCACATGATACTAAAAATACCTTAACAACTTTTAGTGTCACTTGATAAGTTCCGGTCAATTGCATTCAAATTGATACATATAACCGGTTGTAGCCAAAATATTACATTAGTATCAGTTTCATAAATACTTTAATAGCGCTTTAAATTTATATTTTTTTATTTAAACTATAATTTTTTTTTTTTTTTGGTGCACGTCCCTTCCCTCCATTTAGGGGTGTTCATCAACCGATTCAAATCGCGGTGACCGAACCGAAAAATCGAAAACCGATTAAAAATCGCAAATTTTAATTGGATTGGATCGGTTTTTGGATAAGTTGATAAAAACCGATCCAATCCAAACCGATCCAATATATTAATTTTCCTCTACCTACTTGGGTATTTCCCTAATCATAGCCTAAAAATTTTTAAACCCAAGACTCATTAACCCATCAACTGAACCCAAGAAAAAATCTAGTCATATCTCATCAACAAAATTTTATCTTTGTAGAGCTTCATATCTAATTGCCAAAATTAAAAAAATTATATTATAGTTTACTAATGCTTTTGTATTTCAATTTTTTTTTTACAAAGCCAATATATACAAAAGATGTTATTTGCACAATAATCATGAAATAAATTTAAGGATTTTCAAAAAATCGAAAACCGATCCAATTCAAACCGAAAAAAATTGGATTGGATCGAATCAGATTTGAAAAAAAATCAAAACCGAATATATGATTATATGATCAAACCGAAGGAATTGAATCGAGTGATTTTTACTTTCAAAACCGATCCAATCCAGACCGTGAACCCCCTCTCTCCATCCTCAACCCCTGTTTTTGTTGTTTTCTTCTGTGAATGTGTTTGAGCTCTACACACGTTGTCTCGTCTCCCAATTAATGTCTCATGTTGCGATATTTAATTACCACATAATAAATTGGGAAAAGTCTTGTGAGCTTTAAATTAGTGATTTTGCTATGTTTAGAAATAAAAAATAAAATAAAAATTAAACTTATTCCTTTTAATTTAAAATAATAATTTATTATTAATTTAAATTCCTTTTTAAGTATTTGCCAAAACAATTTAAATTATTTTGTAGCGTTGCTTAGCTATCTATCTCCATATTGATTCCACAGTCACATTATTGCGTGCCATTATGGCAGTTCAACTCGGAGGTCTTTATGCAGGAAAAAGGTAATCCGATAATTGGGTTAATCACGATTTCGGTTATTGGCAGCTTTATCGGTCAGAAGATATTCAATTATGTTGTGTTTTTCACAAGGGAAATTAATGTGATTACCGCTCTGAGTATGTTATGAAGATTTGAAATTGATTCTAAATCCTTTTAAAATATTCAGACTTCTGATGGATGAGACAATAATTTCATACCCACATTTTATTTTAGGATCTAATGTTTTTTATGTTTTCCCATACATATAAAATTATATGAAATTTGTATTTTCTTTCTTTCTCTTCTCTTAATATGAATCTCACATATTTTTATGTGTGAGTATAGAAAATGAATTTATCTCTTATAACATGAGAATTATTAAACCCTTTATTTTAATCTTAAAATTAAGTGGAAAAAAACTTTATCTTAAAACTAATTTCGGATTCTAATTTTGAAATGAATTAGAAATGTAAATTTTTTAATTATGTAATAAGAAACTTATAAACATTTTCCATGAATAAAATGTAAATGAAGATTAACGATATATTATATTTGAATCGTTTGTAATAATTATAAACTAAAAATCTGAATTTTGTAGTAGAAGTTCAACCTAACTCAGCTAAAGTCAAAAAAATTTTAACTGATGTCAAACAGTAAGACATGTAAGATTATTTAGCTACATTTAAAACATGACTAGTTTTTAAAAATAAGTTGGAGCCAAGGCACTCCCTCCACCCAAAGTTCTATAAATATTGAAAATTTGAATTGTTTGTTATAATGAAAATTTAGACTTTAGTAATTACAATAATTCATTTTGCAATACAAATGCTACAAAAAAAATATTATATTTGATAAAATTTTGGTGATCCAATAATTTAACAAATTAAAGTTACTGCGTGACAATTTTTTTTTCATTTATATATTTTATTGATTGTATTGACTTAGTGATTTTGGACTCCAAAAGTAATGTTGGATGTAACTTTTATTTATTTATTTTGTGTTGAGTTTATAACTTTACATATTATGGAATTCTTCGATAGATAATTTGAATAAAGTATTTTTAAATATAAAATGTAATTAAAAAACACATTTTACTCTATTAATAATGGAGATAAATTATTGCCAGGTAGCTCTCTTTGGTTCAAAAATTATATAATATTTCTTGTAAATTTTATTTGAAATTGAAAGTGGATTTGATAAAAATAAAATAAAATGGATAACATTTTAAAATATTTCATTAGTCATATGCATTAATTAAATGGTTCATTTTTTCTGCAGTTAATGCAGATAAGTTATCTGCATTTACTCCTAAAACGACGTTGTTTTGGGGCAGAAATCATGATAATTTTATAATTTTAATTTATTTCAGGGTTATTATAGTTTTTATAATTATAATTTTACAATGTTTCAACCCAAAACGATGTCGTTTTGAGAGTAAATGCAGATAAGTAACTATAAATATTTTTCTGTTAGTTAAATTGCCATAAAGTTTGTAAATTGTAAGTATGAGAAGCTATATATGAACCAGAATTTAAAATGAAGCCTTTTTTCTCACAATTTTACTCGGATAAAGAATACCTTTTGCAGTGAAGTAGACATAAATATTATATGCATGTAGCTGAAATATCTTGTTCTAATAGAGCGCGACGTCGATGCGTGAGTTTCATCATATATAGAGGGGATGGTTAGTAGGGGGAAAAGGGTAATAAGCTATGAAATTTTGTTTGAAAATAAGAGAAAATGAAAACAAAAATATTAATATAGACACCGCACATGTGTTCTGCAGTTAAGTTGTCACCACCAGTCAAATATGCAATGCTGATTAAACGCATAGACATACCAAAAATATCATAGCAATAACTATAGTAACATTTTGAACATGGTTGTAGTAAGCGCTTTCGGCTCAAATATCAGGAAATGGAAAACGAATCTGAGATGAATATTTATTTACCGAAAAATGACAATTGTTGGTCAGTTCAAACTTCAACCTAGGTAATTTATAATTACAAGGTCGAAATAAAAAAAGTAGCCAGTTGCAGTTTTCTCAATTATATATCGGGAAAGAAGTGTGAGAGCTATACGTGGAAACCTGCTGTTTGGTTTAGAGTTGGGACAAAAGATGCGGCACCAGGTCTCACTCAAGTACTGTGACTCAGACCCCATCCTGTTTCCCATAGCCATATCGTAATAATAAGTAACCACAGCTGTAACAAAAACAAAGAAGACTGTTATAAATATAATATTCGCATTGTGCATACGATCCACCAGTATTAGTATATTGTTACTATTGTACGTGTTGAGTGTATTGTGTACGTTGTGGTTGGGACGTGTCCTATAGTCCTACTGTGAGAGTCTCAGACTAGGACACAATACACCTACAATTTGCAGCCAAATTTTATTTCGATTTTTTATTTTATTTTGTTTCTCATTATTTAACAATAATTTGTTTATAACCATACCAGTTCACTCTCTTGCCTCGGTATTTTAACCCATCTAGATTTGAATCAGGAAGTCTCCTTATTCCTTCTCCTCTCTCTCTATTTCTTAGAATCCAAAGTCTCACACTTGAACAGAGTTGAAACCTCTTCAACCTGAGACATATCGAACACTCTAGTTTGTTTGGTTCTTCATCATAACATTTTTTCTTTCTTTTTTGGTTTTATACTCGTGATGATGGCTCAGAAGCACTTACACGAGCTACTGAAGGAGGATCAAGAACCATTCCTTTTAAACAAGTACATTTCTGATAGGCGTAGCCAAATGAAGAAAAATCCTTCCCCAAAGACAAGTTTGCAAGCGATGAAACGAAAACCAATCAATCAAAACTCAAACTTTTCAATGAATCTCTGCAAAAACGCTTGCCTTTTCTCCTTCCCAGAAACCCCAGACCTCAGAAAGTCTCCACTATTGGAATTCACATCACCAGCAAAAAGCCCCTGCAAGTCACCCAACGCCATTTTCCTTCATATCCCATCTCGAACAGCAACTCTTCTCCTCGAAGCCGCACTTAGGATCCATAAACAGTCATCAACCAGTTCCAAAACCAAAACCAAAGGATTTGGGCTATTCGGGTCCTTATTCAAGAGACTAACGCAAAGAAACCAGAACCGAAGAAGGGAAATAGAGGATGGTGGCGTGAAGGTTTCTGTGAAGGATATCTTAAAGTGGGATTCGTCTCTTGGGCGTAGAAAACTCTCCAATGACAAAGAGCAAGAAAAGATGACTTCTCAGAAAGTCAACAGCATGGTCAATGCAAATGCAAATGCGTGTGAGGTGGGGTTTCCATGTACTTACAATGGAAGGCCTAGCAGTGCTGTGTGGTCGGAGAGCAACGAAGATAAATCTCTGGACATGGAAACCTCGAGTAGTAGCCACTCTGCTGAAGGGAATCACTTTGTAATTAATCACAAAAATTGTTCTTGCTGCCACCATGCCTTCTGCGAAAGCCCTTTTCGTTTTGTTCTTCAAACGAGTCCTTCCTCCGACGGCCGCAAGACGCCGGAGCTACCGTCGCCAAGTCGTCACAGAACAGAGGTTTGTCATTTTCGTTAAAAAAATTTATTTTTATTTTTATTTTAATCTCCGAATTTCAGCTGTTAATTATGTTTTCAATTTTCAACCCGGTTCAACTCACTCCATGGACTGAGTTTATGAAGAAGAAGAAGAAAAGAAAAAAAACTCGGTCCTCAAGATGATAATGAACTGGGGATACACTGAGTCAACTCGCGAGTTAACCTGTTCGTTCGATGGTCTTTTTCTTTTAAATTTGTAGGAGATAGGATCTGGGTCTGCAAATTTGGCTGGAATGTTGATTTAGTTTTTTTATTATCAGAGCGTGACCCGTGAAATTTTTTAAGCATATAGCACCCTATCTTTCCGAAAATTGTTTTAAGTCTGTGAGGATCACATATGTCAATTTCATGGTTTTTGTTTACCCGAATTTCCATAATTGTACTTTTCGATCGTGTTTCTGCCATGCAAATCTTCTCTCTCTTACTCTTGTTTTTTATCAATTCTAGTGGATTGTTTGGTAAATTAATTTCTTAAAAGATGACAAATTATGCTTTTGTCTGTTCTCTTGTTTGCAGTCCTTAGATCCCCACATTGGATTCACTAGAAATTAGTTTTTCATTTGTATTTTTGTTTGAATTACTGAGAGGGTCCCGTAACAAAATCCCCAAGCAAAAAAAGGTGTCAAAAACAAAACCAATTATGATCACGTTGTTAAGTCTAACTCCATATTGCAATGAACGTTTTGTGGATTTTAATAGGACAAAGAAAGTAATGGAGCTGAGAGTGTCAACAAATTCGAGTCAGGGGAAGAAGAGAAGGAACAGTGCAGTCCAGTGTCTGTTTTAGACCCACCCTTCGAGGACGATGTCGAAGTGCATGGAAACGACGGTGAGGAGAATGGTTTTGATTTGGAGTGCAGCTATGCCATTGTACAGAGTATGTCACAATTTTATTTATTTATTTATTTTTGTACCATTCTTTGTTTGTTGTATGGTCGTTTTCTATTAACGCAGCGTCGTACACGCTTCTTCAAATTTGCTTGTCTGTTACAATTCACAGTAAGAGGGGCTAATTGCTGATGTGATTGTGCCGATATTAAACCGTGCTATCTGTGTGGGTTCCATCTAAAGATTACAGTTGCTCAACATCCCAATTGCATTTCCCATTGAATGTGGACTTGGCCTACTCTTCGTTTAGCACTAGATATAGCTCATTTTGTTATAAATTTGAACGTGACCCACAATTATTTTTCTGTGTGTGTGTGTGTGTGTGTGTTAGGAGATCTGTCTTAATTGGGACCCTTCCATTTATTATGTTGGATAACATGTGAGCAATCAAACTCGTATCAAGTTTAATAAAAAAAATTGTGGTACTTTTTAGTTGTTGAGAAAGCTTCATTACCAACAATGCTAGTCCCACACTTTCACATATATACATAATTTTACACTTGGTACAACTACTACACGATCAATTTAAGATATGCCACTAATAGCTTCTGTGACGTTTCATTCATCTTGTACTTATTGTCTTTAAAACGCTGTGATATTTGCAGTGTTTGAGTAACAATTATTAAACTCATCAAAACAAGAAATGTATTATTGGTTTTTATTTTATTTTATTCTGTATTAATTTTACAGGAGCTAAGCAGCAGCTATTGTACAAGCTTCGTAGATTTGAGAAACTAGCAGAGTTAGATCCAGTAGAACTTGAGAAAAGAATGCTGGATCAAGAAGAGAACGAGGATGAAGATGAAACATTTATGGAAGAGGATGAGGATAGCGAAGCATCATATAAAGAAAATGACTTTATAAAAGAACTAGTTTTCGAATCTCTCTGTCAGGCAAGGGTCCACGACAGACAGCATATCCCGGAAGAGTTAAAAAATTTGGTGTCTGATCTCATTGTTGAAGAAGAGAGAGAACTAAAGTCCTTAGAAGATAGGGACTTGGTGATAAGACGGATATGTAAGAGGCTGGAATTGTGGAAAGAAGTGGAGTCTAACACAATTGATATGATGGTAGAAGAGGACTTTTCAAGAGAGGATGGTGAGTGGAAGAAAAATGTAGAGCAGATGACAAAGATGGCTGGGGAGCTTGAGGTTGCTATTTTTGGCGTTCTGGTGGAGGAATTTTCAGAGGAACTAGTATGTTGTTAATGTGGGTAAATTTTGAAGCAGCTGAGGAACATAGTATGAATGGTTATCTTTTTTCTTTTTCTTTAAAAGAGTACAGTCTGACTTGCAACGTATTGGGATAGGCTAGTTAGAAAGAAAAAAAAAGGTAACCCAAGAAGATAATCTGGGTATGTACATGACTCGTCTTTGTAGCTGGCTGTGGGGATGCTGTAAAAGTCACCTTTCTTGATTAAATACTATAATTTTTTAACTTCTTGGTCCCATTCTTACAATGATATCTTCTAAATTTTAGTGTCGTAATGAAGTGGGGATGGGGAAGGGGAAGGGGAAGCAAATATAAAATCAAAGCATCCAATGTTTAGTCTCTTCTAATATTCACAACCATGTTATTAGATGATAAACGACCACATTTTTTCTTTTCTTTTCACTATCAATATTAGGATATGCTAGACTTCTCTTACTGAAGAAGTATTTATGTTTAGAAGAATACCAATCTGGTAGTTTATTCAATGTATGTTTCTCATACTATGAGAGTTAGGGCCAGTGGGGTTAAAAGGAGGAATTGCAGCTGTCGGCAGAGAGAATCATATAGCTTGAGGACCTTGTAAAGGAAGGAGCAATTTGACAACGACTAATCGGTCTAATCTCATGTTCTTTTCTTTTCCAAGGCCCTTTTAATATTTAATGGAAAACTACTTGTCAAATTCGCATCTTGGATTCCGGGTTTCCCTTTTTCCTTTTCCAATTTCTGTTAATCACTCTAGGTAGCTTCCCTGATTATGCTTTTTAGCTAGCAGTGATCCATCACTATCGTTTGCCACCCTTGAATTCGTTCTCCTGGACCAATTTTTCTTCTGGGAACGCTAGTTATATAGAATTGGGCCAATATCGATCAAGAATGATATAATGTAAATAGTTACAAACAAATTAAAAAAGGGTGAATATATTAACCGTAATTATACATACTTCCCTTGTTTATTGCATGATTTGTTACACTAACATTTATTTTTAATTAAAAAATTACACATAGGTTTTCTATTTTATATAGCAATTTTACGCCGTTACCTCTTGAAAATAATAATATAGAAAAATAGATGTAATATCCTTAAAAAGAAAAAAATATTAAACGAATCAATATTGATTCAGTGCCTGTTTGGATCCTCTCTTTTTTAAGTTAGAAGCTACTTATAAGCATAAGTTAGGCCAAACAGGTTTTGAGAAAAGTTCTTATAATGAAAAGTTCTTTTTTTTTATAATGAAGGAAAAAGCTGAAAACTAAAAGCTCCTCCTAAGCTCCTAGGAGGAGTTTTTTTTAAGTTCTTATATATTTTTCTTGAATTGTGTGTTCTTTTTTTAAATGAAGAGTGATAAAAGATAGAGAGAGATAATTTTCTTGAAATATGTGCTTTTAAGTAATTTTTAAGCTAAAACTTTAATGTAATTTCTAAACAGCTGTTAGCTTCTTTTTTTTAAGCTCTTTTTTTAGCTTTAGCTTATAAGTAGCTTCTAGCTTAAAAATAAGAGGATCCAAATAGGCTCTCAATTGATAAGAAATTTGTTCCTTTTAACCGAGTCTGGATTCAAGCATTGGGAATGAAAAAAAAATAGTCCTGCAAGAACCCCCTGTATGAGTTCGGTAAAATTTAAACCGAATTAATAGTATAGTTAATGAATATATAAAAAAAATTGTTAGTATGATTAGCACTCATTAAGAAAAGTCGATATGATATGATTACCCAATTACAACACACAGCCAAATTTGAATACATTCTTCCCTCATGAGATACACTTTTTGGGCTACCCAGTACAATTAAGGGTAAAAAAACAATTCAACATGGACCATTCTGCTTTGGGTCCACGGCTTGAACTAATAGAAGCCCATTGAAATATTATGAATGTCCTGCTGATTAATTGACCAGTACGAATAAGGACAAGCATAATGGCAGCGCCTTCCTTGCACCTACCAAGTTAAAGACCCTTGATGGTCCTAGAAAAATAGCTGTTGATTTGCCTTACAATTACGTCAATGACAATAATCAATTAACCGACTATTTGGTCAGTGGGTAAAAGCTTGATAAATTATTGATGATATATTTAGACTGTGCAAAAAATAAAGTAAAATTGTGAGGTACCTAGAAAAAAAATGTGGGTATGCAACTTTAATCGCCAATTGAATGTCCTCTCCGTCGTCCCTCACCCACCATGGCCATGGGACTAGATCTCATGAGCAGAGTGTAACCCGATCTTGAATCATTTTAGGGGTTGTAAGTCCAAGCAAACGGCGCAGCCAATTTTTCCATGAAGGCCTCGCACCATCACACAGGGAAAGACCAATTTTTTTTCTTATCCTCTTTTGACACATAAACTAATTGCCCGTAGCCGTAGGACCGAAGAAGTTGAAATTTCAAACATGCCGACTACTCTGGACGAAGATATGACTAAATTGACGGATGCCACATTGCCAGGTGCAGGTGGTTATGAAGAGGTGTTAAGTTTATTAACGTGGTTTGTCCCTTAGTTGATAGATACTGTTTGCGCACTAAAATTTTCATATTCTTTATACCTTAAGATTTAATGAATGGAAAAACTTTTAACATTTTAAACTATATAATTTTATATTATTTTGCCTAAAATGATACAAAGTTATGTCTTTAAAACCACAAATCCTTTTCCCTTTTAATGAATATTGTATAACTAATTTATATATCATTGGCCTTGGCCACATAAAAATGGAGGGAAAATTGTGTTACAAATTAGTCATTTTCCATTGAGAAAAATATCTAAATGTACGCTGAAGTCAGAGACGTTGGAAGGGAGAAGAAGGCACCTCTCCCATCTATTCAATTAATACACCCTGCCTCTCCTAATTCTTTTCCCTATCCTCTAATCAGCAAGAGGCACCACATACACGAACACAACCACCCTCTCTAAAGTCCACAGAATTCGAGAAATAAACAAGTTTTAAGATGGGAAGCAATAGCAGAGAGGAAGAAGACAATCACCATGTAATAGATATCTGGAAGGTAGACAGCGAGAGGTTGGCTTCCATGCAGCTCAAGATTTCCGAGAACCCAAAATTGCTAAGCAAAGTTGCTGGCAAGAGATCTTGTTGCATCTTCAGGGTGCCACAGAGCCTAATTGAGGTCAATGGAAAAGCCTACCAACCTCGTATTGTATCCATAGGGCCTTACCACCGTGGTCAACCTCGTCTCAACATGATTGAGGAGCATAAGTGGCGTTATCTTGGTTCCCTTCTCTCTAGAACAACACAGACCAAAGGGTTGGGCTTGGAGGACTTGTTGAAAGCCATTGCCATGTTAGAATCGGAAGCCAGAGAGTGTTACTCCGAAACCATCCAGCTTGACTCTCACGAATTCATTGAGATGATGGTCCTTGATGGGTGTTTCATCGTTGAGTTGTTTCGAAAAGTTTCCAAATTGGTACCCTTCGAAGTCGATGATCCACTTGTCACCATGTCCTGGATATTACCATTCTTTTACAGAGATTTTCTCAAGCTTGAAAATCAGATCCCTTTCTTCATTCTCCAGCGCTTATTTGAACTGTCAAAACTTCCATCAGAAAAGTCAACGCCGACTTTGTCAACTCTTGCCTTGGAATTCTTCAACAACTCGATGCTAAGGCCAGACGAAGTCATAGCCAAGCAGAGTGACATGAAAGGGAAGCATTTGCTTGACTTGGTTCGTTCAAGCTTTATTCCAAGCGATCAAGAAACAGAGCCCAAAAGGGTCATCACACCAACACACGTGATCCACTGTGTCTCTAAGCTTCGCCGCGCTGGGATTAAGATCACTCCGGCCAAGGACAGCGAGAGCTTCTTGCACTTGACGTTCAGGCACGGCGTGATAGAAATGCCAACCATCACAGTGGACGATTTTATGAGCTCTTTCTTGCTCAACTGCGTTGCATTTGAGCAATGCTACAGCGGTTGTTCTATGCAGTTCACAACCTACGTGACCCTATTGGACTGTCTCATAAACACATATAGGGATGTTGAGTACCTATGTGACCGAAACATAATTGAGAACCACTTTGGGAAAGAGGGGGAAGTTGCCCAATTCATCAACAACGCAGGAAAAGATGTCGCAGTTGATTTGGATACGAGTTATTTGTCTGAGTTGTTCAACCAGGTTCACCAATATTACCACAGTAGTTGGCATGTGCAGTGGGCTAGCTTCAAGTACACATACTTTGATACGCCATGGTCCTTTATCTCTGCTCTGGCTGCATTCATATTGTTGGTTCTAACTGTAGGACAGACCTATTTTGCCGCTTACCAGTATTTTGATTCCCTGAAATCTTGATCAAGAGTCATAGGCTTGAGTAGCACTGGTGCAAAAATAGTTTTGTATCATGCAACCAGAATTGTTTGTGCAGAGATTAAATTCCGTTGTCAGGATGAGTGCGCTTTTTTTTCAGTAATTCAAATTCAGTTTTTGACATCTTTTTTCTATTGATCAGTCATGGCACGAGTCTTACCACTGAGAAGTGAGAACTGATATGGATTGGGAGTTCTTGATTTGATATTGTCTATACAAATTTTTATTGATTGACAAATATGATTCCGGTTATCAATATGGTAAGAAATTTTCTTCCTTTAGAAATCCTAATGTAACTTGACCATGTGTTCAAATCAAATGGTTCAGTGTTAATGAAAAATTAACAGAAATGTAAATTGAAGTTCAAATGCTAGAAATAATAAAAAAGTTTATGCTGAAATCAGATTTTATGGCAAAGTAAGCATAGAGTAATCATGTTTGAATTCTGTTTTCAAAAATAATTTTTTTATTTTCAGAAAAAAAAAAATTATTTGTTAAGGACTATTTTATAAAAATAGTTTTAAAAATTATAATTACTTTTTAGTTCTTAGAATCAAATTTAGAGAACATATCTCATTTGTTTTTTGTTTTTTTTTTTTACTTTTTACTTTTTACTTTTAAAATAAAAAAATAACACAGAAAATACCTATTTTGTTAACTATTATTTTTTTAAAAAAATAAACACAATCAAATAAGACCTTAATTGCTTGAAATGTGAAATAAGAAAATAGCAAACGAAAGCAAAAATGGCAACAAATAAATGATAAAGAATGGTAAATTGCACAGATGACAATAAAAGGTAAATTGCACGAAGTAAATTGACAGTCAAAAATAAATTCTAAAGTTGATGAGGACCTATTAATAATATTTTAAAACTTCGCCCCACCCTAGGGTTGACTTATTAGGTCATTGACTCCCTCTCTGAGAATTTGGATTAGTAGTTAGACCCTACTTGTACGTTGACCCCTTTAATCCCAATACTCCTCGGTTGAATCCGTGACTCCCGGGTCAGAGAGGTCACTACATTTTCTAAAAAAAAAAAATTATACAAGAAAAGACGTCGTTTGATGTGTAAAAAAAATAAACAAAACAAAAATTTGTTGCTGCTTAGAGAACTAGATCTGAAATCTGAATCGTTATTTTTCTTTTCTTCCAAACTTCTCTCCCAGACTCAGTCTCCTTGTTCTGGTGATCTCCTCCACCATGCTGGTTCTTCTCTCTCCACCGTTAATTTGTCATGTTGCCACCTCTCCTTCGCTATTCTCTATTGGGTAAAGGATTTCTTTATACATACTGTTGTAGGTGCATGAGAAGGACAAAAAGGGCATAAGTTTGATGATATAAATTTTCATTAACTTTATTGGAATATGTGTTTTATACTTTGATTAGCTTATGAATATTGACTTGTGGATATAATTGATTGAATTATGTTAAGTATATTTTGAATCTTTAATGATTGGTGGTTTGAATTTTTCATATAGAGTATATCTTTATATTTTTTTAATGTATAAATTTGGGTCAGCGAAGTAACCCCGTGACCCATCGGTTGAACCCGTGACCCCATAACCCCTGACCTTGGCTGAGTTGATGGTCGGGCCAGATTTTTAAACACTGTATTATACATTGGTTAGAGGCCCGATAAAGCCCAATTCACTCTAGCGAAATAACCTGTAAAGGGTATTGTATCTCGTCTATGTAATTAACTTGTAAGGAATCATCATTACTAGGACCAGTAGTTCAGCCAATTTGGCCACCATCAGAGAGAGACTAGTGAAAGGAGGGCAGCTCTTACTTGCTGATATGACTACCAAAACTACTCTGAACATAGACTTACCATTACGGAATAGTCTGAGAGAGGCCACCCCTCTCCACCAATCAATAAGAAAACCGTCTCATAAAGGACGGTAGTAAACACGACTAAGGCACTACAAATATAAAGGTCATTGGAGCAAATATGATCTCGCTTTTAATATTTGAATCTCCTTGCATACAAAAATTGACTTGAGCGTCAGAATGTCATTGTAGGTACCCCTGTCTCTCTAAACCCAAAGAGGCTAAAATACTGCTCATACATCACGCAACACACTACCCACCATCTCGCCAAGACCACCAGCATCCCGACAAACAACATAATATCTTTAGATTTCTTCATCAACATTATCTACCTTCAACCGTGTGTGGTTATGTCCAACCCAACTGGTGTTGATTTGATCAATCGTTTTCATATGAAGTAGAGGTTTTCATCAACCGATTCAAACCATAGTGACCGAACCGAAAAATCGATAATCGAATTAACCGAAAATCCAAAAAAAAACCCATATATTTTAATTAGATTGAATCGGTTTTGGATTTTGTTCTGTCCTTGGGACAGAGATGTCTAGCCCAGTTAGGCTAGTACGTTGGTATCGGATCTGATATCCTCTCCAAGGTATCTATGAGAGAGATACCCTTGAGTCAGGAAGATCACTGTGCACAAGATACAATGAGGGCGTTTAGCCAATAGGGTGTGTGTGTGCACAGTGACAGCATAACCATTAGAGAGAGAGAATGTGTGTACCTTTTAGGGTTTGCCCTGGTATTTATAGAGGTTACCTGTAGATAGTAGATAGCTATGCTGACACATCAAGTGGGTTGCTATGCTGGCACATCAAGTAGATAGTTGTGCTGACTCATCAGCTCTTTGGATTGCCCCTTGTTGGGCTTGTTACTTAATGGGCCCATTGTATGGGTCCATAACAGATTTGGTTGGTGTAGAGGTGTTCATCGGCAGATCCAAACCGATTCAAACCGCGGTGACCGAACCGAAAAATCGATAACCAAAAATAAAAAATCGAAAAACCAAAAAAAAAAAAAGTGCATATTTTTATTGGATTAGATTAGTTTTCGGTTTGATTGTTCAAAACTGATTCAATCCAAACTGATCCAATGTATTACATATTTATTATTTTTAAATGATGGTCACTTGAAATCTTGTTGTTTTGTAGAATTGGAATCTTGAATATTATTGATAGCAAACTATCTTATTTTAGTTTTTATTGTCTATTAATCTATTATAACTCTTTATGAGTTTTAAGACTTATTTACTTTGGGGACTTGAATTTTCCGGTGGTTTATAGTGATTTGTGTGACTGAAATTTTAGAGTCTTCAAACAATCAAAAATCGATTCAATCAAAACAGAATAAAATTGGATTGGATCAGATTTAAAATAAAATTCAAATTGAATGGATGATTAAATAATCAAACTAAAGGGATTGGATCAGATGATTTTTTGTTTCAAAATCAATCCATTCCAGACCGCGAACACCCCTAGGTTGGTGAAAACCGATCCAAGGTATTATGTATTTATTATTTTCGAAAGATGATGACTTGAAATCTTATTTTTTCGTAGACTTGGATTCTGGGATGTTATTGTTGGGTTTACTCTTTTACTAAAGCCCAAATGGGTTATTAGTATGAGAAGAGCCCAAGGAACCTAGAGCCCAATGAGTTAGGGTTTCTTGGAACCCATATAAATAGTACCTCTTAAGTCATCAGCCTCCAAGGTCCTTTTTGTGAGAAAGAGGCAAGCTCAGAATCTAATCAGTGCCCACACACTTCCCCTTCCTCCTCGAGAGATAGTTTGGAAGATCTACCACAGTCCAGCTTCAAGGAGGTTGTTCGTGCTGCGGCGCTGAGGTGAGCTGGTCGTGAAGAGGAATCCTACAAGGGAAGATTCTACACGAGACCTGCGCACCGAGAGGTAATTGTGAAACAAGGATGATTCGGTAAGCATACCAATGTACTAGGTCCTAAACCGCTTCCGCATAAATCTAAGATTTTCTACAATTGGTATCAGAGCCTTGGCTGTACATTGGTATGTGAATCTAGTTTCACTATTCATGTAATTAGTTTTGCTTCTTGAAATGTGGCATCTAGGGTTCTAGGATTATAGTATGAATCTAGCATGTGTATTTTATAATTCATTTTCATAAAAGTTTAAATTTTAATCGGTAAAAATGCTTTAATCCATGGTTAGGGTCTCTCGTGTATTTCTCGATTTGTAACAAGGAGTCTAATCCCATATGATTAGGTTTACTCCTTGCTGTTTTTGTTTATTTTTAGAATTTCTGTGTATTTTTTCAATATTTTGTAAAAGTTCAAGATCGAGAAATCGCGAGGAAGATGCGCAGTCAGCACTGTCGGAGACTTTTCGAGAACTTACCGATCTCGGAATGGGGCGATATATATATGGTTGGAAAGAGGACAGAAAGACTAACGCAAAGGTGGGTGGATCGCCGCCATAGGAGCCTCCATGCTCCTCCACGCGCCTCCACAAGTGGCGGCGAGTGGCCGCCACTCTCCGGCAAAGAATGGGAGAGTGAGGGAGCGTCCGGCCACCTTTTTGGGTGGTTCCGGCGGCGGTGCACTCGTCTCTATCTGGCGGTCCTTCCCCTGGAGTTTCGGCCTGAGTTGAGTTCGGGTGACGGCGCGGCAGACCTGACGGCTAGGGTTCCTCTTTCGCGTCCTAGGGTTTCTCGCCAAAGGATTGGGTCTTTGGGCTTTTGGGCCCATGGAAACCCTAAAGGGGCTTGAGACAGATACTATGGGCTAGGCGAAAGTCGGATTCCAAAGTTGTATTATTTAATTTAATTTAATTTAATTTTCTTTAAAATAGGAAGGCCATGGATTAAAGTAATTATGATTTATTATTTAATTCTTTTATTGATTGGTATAAATTATATGATTGATAACATGCTTTATTGCGATAACATGCCATATAGAATAAGTGGTGCCATATTGTTGCATAACTTGTATGATTGCATGAGCATAATAGCTATTATGTCTTCAGCGACTAGTATGATAGTTATTATGGGATTATTTTGATTTTAAATTATCCTAAGAAATTAATTAATAATTATTATGATTTTTATTAAAAATCTAGATTAATAATTGAATTAATTAATTTTGGATAATTAACATCAAGACAAATAATCGTTATGGAAATTATTTTGATTTCAAATTATCCTTATAAATGATAATTATTATGATTGTTGCAATCTAGATTAATAATTAAGTCAGCTATTTGGATGATTTAAATCTAGAAAAATAATTAGAGAAAATTTTCTAAGAGAATTCTTTTCTTTTGCGAGTAATTTGTGGGTTTTTCTGAAATGGTCATGGAATAACACACGCTGCATACAACATTCATGTATCATGATTGTTTGGAGCACACGCTGACGTAAAGGGACCGGATTTCAGGACCTTAATGCTTTCAAAAT